CAGCTCACCCATACCCCCAAACCTCTGGGCTGGGGCTCAGGGTAGCTCTGACCTCCACTTGCCACTGCTTTCCCTGCCAGGTGAGCCCCAGGGATCATCACAGGGGTTTGCTCAGCATCCAGCACCGAGGGGATGGGACTGCAGCACCTACCTCCTACCCAGGCATCCCTCAGCCCCCCCCAGCTCCCTCCCTAGCCCTGAATGTGCTTATTTTGGGGTGCCCAGCTGGTTGCAGGAGTGGAGTTTGCAGAGGAGCCTGTGCACAGCTGCTGGAGGTGAAGGGCATCTCCCTGGGTGAGAACTCAGCACTGCACTTTGCTGCCTCTCATCCTGTCCTCCTGCTCTCAGCTCTGGGTCTGCCCTGGCTGTGCTGGGGTTTGGAGGACAGCAAAAGGGTCCAGGGGATGGGTATGAAGGTCACAAGGTGGGCACCTCTGCCACAGGTGTGCATCCTTTTCCTGGGATGGATCCATAGGGATCCCCAGGGTGGAAATGTCCTGCCCTAAGGTGTCACTGCCAGGTTGCACCAGCAATGAGCAAACTGGACCCATCCTGGCTCCTTTTACCCATTCCCTGAGCATCCCTGGGAGAATGAGAGCAGGGGGAAACTGCTGCCAGAAGGGAAGTACAGACTACTGATGGAATGGAGAGGAAAGGCAAGAGGAAAGGGAAATAAGAAAGGCAAGAGGAAAGGGAAATAAGGCAAGGCAAGAGGAGAGGGAAATAAGGAAAGGCAAAAGGAAAGGGAAATGAGGAAAAGCAAGAGGAGAGGGAAACAAGGAAGTCAAGGCTGGGGAAGAGGGTGGTGGGGAAGGGAGTGATCCTGGAGAACAAGGCTGGTCAAGGGGGGGAGATACCCATCCCCATCTCTCACTCTCCACCATCACTGTGTTCAGGTGAACTGTGGTCCAGAAGAACCAGGGAAAGGTGCAGAGCAAGGTGAATCCCAGAGCCAGCAGAGAGCCCAAGTGCAGAAGATGAGAGAGCTGCTCTCCCCAAAGCCCCTGTTAACCCCAACCCTCCTGCAGAACACGACCCTCCTGGAGCTGGTGAGCAGTTCACGAGAGCTATGGGATATCCTGGATAACCTGTCAGAGAGGGACCACACTGCACACCCCAGAGGACAGAGGGACTTGGGACCAGCCTCAGGCAAGCTGAAAAAGATTTTTGGCTGGGGAGATTTCTATTCCAACATCAAGACAGTGAAGTTGAACCTCCTGATCACCGGGAAGGTGGTTGACCACGGCAACGGCACAGTCAACGTCTTCTTCCAACACAACTCCACGGGGCAAGGGAACATCTCTGTCAGCCTGGTGCCTCCCACCAAGGCTGTGGAGTTTGACCTGGAGCAACAAATCTTCATCGAGGCCAAAGAATCCAAGATCTTCAACTGCCGCGTGGAGTACGAGAAGGTGGATCGCGCCAAGAAGACAACTCTCTGCACCTACGACCCCTCCAAGACCTGCTACCACGAGCACACCCAAAGCCACGTCTCCTGGGTCTGCTCCAAGCCCTTCAAAGTCATCTGCATCTACATCACCTTCTACAGCATAGACTACAGGCTGGTGCAGAAGGTGTGTCCCGACTACAACTACCACAGCGACGTTCCCTACTACCCCTCGGGGTGATGCTCTGCCCATCACGGGACGTCCCGGTGACCAGAGGGTGCTGGGGGGTTGGGGGGAGGGACAGGGATGGGGTTGTAAGCAGGGAGGGAGTGTGGCAGTCCCTAGAAACCAGAAGCATGGAAGGAAGAGGAGAATTTTCCATTTTCCCCATGAGCTCCGATGTCAAGAGGAGGAATTTTGGGCTGGAGGTATCCCCTAGAAACCAGAAGCATGGAAGGAAGAGGAGAATTTTCCATTTTCCCCAAGAGCTCCGATGTCAAGAGAAGGAATTTTGGGCTGGAGGTATTGGCACGGCTAACCATGGCTTGGATCCATGGTCTTTAGAGTGGTATGTAAAGGCAAGGCATGGATTTAGGGGATGGAAAACAGGACATAAAGCCACAATCAGGACTTGTGTTTCTCAGTGCAATAATGGATTTGGCCTGGATTTAAGGCCACACGATCCCTAAAGGTTGGTGACTCCAGGCAAAGGGAGCTCCAGAGGCAGAATTGCACAGCCTGGAGCTGGGGAAGACCTCATGGGAGTGAAAGGCACCTGATGCCCACCATGAGCAGCCACATCACCTCCCTCACATCTGAGTGATGCTGTGGCAAGAGCTGGGGATGAGTTTCCCCAAGTTGAGGTGCTGGGATGGAAACAAGGAGTTGGGCCAGGCAGGAGGGACCTTCCCAGGATGCCACCCCACCACAGCTCAGCCCAGCACCGTGGCACAGAGGGGTTTCAGGGCCTTGAGACTGGATTGCTGGGCAGAGAAACCCTGGTGGAAGCTGTCAGTGCTGCTGACACAGTGTGTGATTCATGTGTTTCCCCTGACACGCTGATTCATGCGTTTCCCCCTCATCTCCTCCGTGCTGAGTCTCCCTGCAGCTCCTCGTGCCTGGCACACGGTGCTGCTGCTCCTTGGGGCACAGCTGTGTGTCCAGGGGGGTAAAATGCAGCTCTGACTCCAATGGTTCATTTACTTGGAAGGAAAAAAACCTCCCACCACGCTGACCTTGAGAGAGGGAATAAAGTTTTCACGGTGGCACCGAGGCAGGTCAAGTGTTTTTACTGGAAATGAGCACCTTGGGGGAGAAGGAAAATATCTTGGTGGGGTTGGGAATGGGACATTGTCCAAATCCAGCTCCTTCTAGTAACTGGGAATTGGGTCCAGCTTTGGGGTCTGCCAGGACTTGGACTTTCACCTGGAGGTTTGGTTCTGTTGCTTGTGCATGGGCACATTCTGTACCACTGATGGGTATTCCCAACCTCTTCCCCTTTCCAATTCATCCCAAATTCAGGCCCTCATTGATGTGGGTATTCCCAACCTCTTCCCCTTTCCCATACAGCCAAAGTTCAGGCTCCAATTTCTGTGGGTATTCCCAACTTTCTCTTCCCCAGACTTCTAAACTTCATGCCTCCCATTCATATGAGTATTTCTAACTGATGGATATTCCCAACTTTGCCTTCCCCAGACATCCAAACTTCAAGCTCCCACCTATGTGGGTATTCCCAAATGATGGGTATTCCCACCCTCCTCCCCTTTCCCCTACATCCAAAGTTCAGGCTCCAATTTCTGTGGGTATTCCTCAACCTTCCCTTTCTCCAGAATTCCAAAGTTCATGCTCCCATTTACATGTGTATTTCCACCCTCCTCCCCTTCCCAGACATCCAGACTTGTCTCTCACTTATATAAGGCACATTCCCACCTACAGAGAAGACCAAAAAAAGCTTCTTCCCTCTTCAGCCTTTCCTTTTCCCCCCAAACTCTCTCTAGCCAGAGCACCAAGCCAACTCCAGCAATCCCTTGACACCTTCCCAAAGTGCCAGGACAGGTCTTACCCCCAGAGCAGTTTTTATGCCTCAACCTTCTCAAATGTAATTCCTTCTCCAGAGCTGGGAGAGAGGTTTGCTGGCTGTGCTGGCAGAGTTTCAGGATATAAACTCCTACAGCAAGGCACAAGCTGCTTCCAAAATCCATGGAGCATTTCAATGCAAGAATCAATGGAAAGACTTTTACTCCAGGCAACGAAAAGTTTTGAGAACTTCTTTTCAGCCACTAACAGGAGCAATATTTGCCCTGGGGAGGAACAACCCTAGCAGGAGGTACCTCAAGTTTTCCCCCCCCAAGAGTTGTTTTCAGGAACAACCCTAGCAGGAGGTACCTCACAAAACAAGTTTTCCCCCCCCAAGAGTTTTTTTTAGGAAGGAAACACAGAAAGCCACGTTGAAACCTTTTTTTTTTTGGCAGCACAAACAAATCCACCCGCACAAAAGTTGCTCATTTTGGAGCCGTTTCAGACAATCGGTGGTGGAAGAACCCCCTGGAGCCAGCAGGAGCAGGAACCAGGCTACAAAGGATGCTCCATTGTCAAAAGGGATGTGGCAGTTGCAGTTACTAGGAGACCAGGACGGGCCATTATTCGGGCTTGGGAGAAGAGGATTCCTGCTCACCGAGTCACAACCTGTGCTCAGAAAATGGATTTTGGAGGACAAATAAGACAAGAGAATAAAATCCTCACACCCTAAATCCACTGCCTTTCACCCCTTGCTCCAGGGAGAGGGTTCACCTGGGAAATTTCCCCTTGGTAGAGGCTAACCAAGGTGTGCCCAGTGGGTTTGGAGATTGGCCATGGAGCTCAGTCGTTGCCTTTGCTTCAATCTCACCCAAAGAACTGAGACTGCATTGCTTTCCCCATTAGTAGATGGATTTGAAATGGATTTGGGCATGGGAAGGACTTCAATTTAGCCAAATGAAGTTCCCTGAGTTGTAAACTTCATTACAAATGAAGCAGAGTGTGCTGAGTGGAGAGGGAAGGAGACTTCAAAAGGCCTCGGTGACACCAGAGTTCAGCAAAGTACCACGGAAGGATTCACAGGCAAAGCTGCAATTAGAGCCTCTCTCCATCAGAAAATTCAGCCCCTGATCATCTCTGAGAACTCACTGAATGGCTGAGCTCTTTGTCTCCAAAGCCCTGATGGGACCTACTCACTGCTGTCATCTCCCACCACACAGGGAATGGGCTCCAGCTCCAGTAATTAGCTCTCGTTTATTTGGCTACTACTTCTCCCTCTGCCCCACAAAACTCCTCCTCATTTAAATTTCATGAGGTTCCCAGCTCAGCCAACCTGTGCTCCTGCACATGGAGGAGCTGATTTCCCAGAACCTGCTCCACCCTCCCACCAAAGCCAATCAGCAGCCCCTGGCCATTAATTGCACTCATTAGAGCTGGGGATGAACCTGTCTGAGATTCCCAGCATTGGGATGAGTCAGAAATCAGGATGGGTTTTTGCTGCAGGAATACAACCACCAAAACATCTCCCCATCATTCTCCTCCCAGGGTGGTGTCTCCCACCTCTCCTGCATCCTTCAGTTTTAAGGACTGAAGTGATGTGACATCACTTTTGGGGATGGACTTGGCAGTGTTGGTTTATGGTGAGACTTGCTGAACTTAAAGGTCTTTCCCAACTTAAATGAGGCCTTAAAAAGCTGTTTAATGCAGGAGTAATTCTCCCATGAAGATCATTTGCTCATCTCAGCACAGTCCATGTTCTCCTTTATTAATTTTGCCCTAGATCATAAAAAATAATTAGGACTAAGCAGCTCAGATAAACCTAAATCCAACTCTCTGTGGGTTACCTGGGCCTCATCTCCCTTTGGATTCTTCCAGACTTTGTCTTTCTGCTCTTTCTTATTCACCATATCCAAAAAACCACCTCATTCAAATGAACCTCATAGTTCCAGAGGTTTGGGAAGGACAAATCTCCCAGGAAGGTACAATTTCATGCAAGGATGGCACAACTGGATCCTTCTCACAGCTTCAAGGCATCAATTTTCCTCAACTCAGGATCACTCAGGTTGGTTCCAAATATCTTTAGCAGCTTTCAGCCAGACACTGAGATTTCAGACCAGAGGGAAGTTTGGGCATGGAAAACCTCTGGAGATGTTAATGGGCAAGAAAAGTTTCTTGGCACAAGAGCCCTAACCCCTGTGAGAACTTTGAAGGCATCAAGGTTGCAGAAATGCCAAACTTGCTTTGCACCAGAATTTGTCACCTTTGGAGGAGCTCCCAGAGCTGTGCCTAGCACTGTTCCTTGGTTTCTCAAGAACTTCAGCTTCCAGAAAAACAAGCAATGGGAAAAACTCAAACAAATGGGAATTCTAGAGGCTGAGACATCCACACACAACTCTAAACCTCAGGTTGGGTTTGATTTCCTGATTTTCAGTTCTTGCTCAGTTTTTGGTCCCTCCCAGCTTTGCTTTGGTGAAGTCTTCAGGCTGGTGGGACTGATGTTCCTCCTGATGTTCCTCCACATCCAAGGGCTGTGTAGAACATATTGGCTGGAGAACATTAGAAGCTCAGATAACTTCCATTTCTCCCTCCTGTTTTTTCCATCCCCTCCCCAAGCCTCCAGTGACATCACAGCTCCCAAAATATCCCTGGCCAGGACAATCCTGGCCCTTCTCTTCCCAATCCACTGCCAAGGCTGAGGCTGTATCCTGACCCAAATGCTTCCATGCCACAAACAAACACATTTTATGGTTTCATGCCCAACTCTCCAAATGGCTAACAGAGCCTTGGTGGGGTAGAGCTGCTGTGTGTGCCATGCTGCATCTTCACAGAGATTACTGGACCTTAATGAGGTGCAGTGAGTCAGCCAAGCCTTTATCCCTTTAATCCCCTATTCCAAGAGCTGGAGGTTGCTCCTGGATGGACTCATGTTGCTGGTTCTGGGGGTCTAAAAGCAGCTTTGGCTGTGGTTGTGTCATTGTGGTTCATGCCAGGCCAATATCACCATGGGCACAGAGTGATGGTGCTTGGCCAAGATCTCAGCATGGATCCAATGGCACAGCTGGACACACGTGGGTCCCACTGCAGCCAATTCCCACCACCTCCCCAAGGAGCTGATGCCCCTTCAAGTCCTCTTGATGTCTCTTCTCTGGGTCCTAAGGGGGTTTCTCTCCTTCACAAACCATGTTTGGTCTGTGCTCTGGACACAGATCCCATAAATTCTTCAG